ACAGATTTAGCATTTCGATTATACGGTGAGTGTATATGCATACATTTAGTTTTTGCAAGATTTAATATAATTCCATTGTCGTGTGCCCATTTGCAAATATTTTCAAAATCACTTTGTATACACATTTGTACCTCAATTATGTTTTTGGAGGCATAAACAAGACACATATCATCAGCGTACATGAACACCTCACATTTATGTACGACATTTGACACACCGTTTACATGCATTATATATCCTACAGGGCCGTACACCGATCCAGTAGGCACACCCTGATCGACATCCGCCTCTTTCCCAACCACTCGGGAGATAATTGTGCTTATTTTTCTGTTATTGAGGTAGTTTTGAAACCAATTTTTTGTGGGACCGCGTATTCCGCATTCGTCCATTGCCTGTAATAAGATCTCATGGTCTAAAGTGTCAAACGCCTTTTTATAATCAATGAACAGTGCTATAATTTGTTTGCCCGAATCTAGACAGTCATTAATGTAATCTGAAAATCGCAACAAGGCAGAGACAGTGTTGCGCCCTCTCCGGAAACCGTGCTGAGAGTCACTTAGTATATTGTGTTGTTCTAAAAACGTGCTAATCTGTCCTACAATAATTTTTTCAGTTATTTTGTCTATAACAGATAATATTGCGATAGGCCTATAGTTGACATATTCAAGGTGACTGCCTGATTTGTATATGGGACGTACAATTGCATTTTTTAATTGGTCTGGATAAATACCGTTTGATAAGGACATATTTATGAATGAAGCTAGAACAGGACTTATTTGCTTACGTAAATATATAATGTCTTGCGCCCGTATTCCATCTAAACCATACATACTGCCATAGTCGAACCTACTCCTAATTAAAGTAATATACAATCGCCTCATATGGATAGTATGTACACCCCATTTTGATCCACTAAGTACCTTAAAAGTGTTTATAAACTTCATTACCTTATCAGTTGTTTCATTAATGTGTTTATGCCATCTTAAAGAGCGATCTAGCCATAACCCGAAATACTTTACATTGTCCGTAACCGCCAACGATATATCCCTAATTTTGAGATCAATTACTTCTCTCTTATAGCCTCTTTTAAAAATACAGACTTTACTTTTTGTTTCCGATATGTCAAGACCAATATTTGCGGGTAAATTACTAAGTAAATTTAGTGCATGCTGTAAATTTCGTACCATGTGTGATACACTACTGCCGGTTACGTACAACGCAAAGTCATCAGCATACTGTGAAACACTAACATTGACTATTTCCTTGCAAATCGCTACAGTAGCAATATTAAATAATAGTGGAGAGAGTGGGTCACCCTGTGCCAATCCCCGTCCCGTCATTCGAGACACGGAGTAATTGTATCGAGTAATATTAAGATTTCTTTCTTTAAGATAGTTCCAAATATATGTACACATTCTATGTCCCACCCCTAGACGGTCCATTATATGCAACAAACTTACTATATCTATATTATTATATGCATCATTGATATCTATAAAGCAACCTATGGTTGTTAAATTTTCAGAGAACCCAATTTGTATCTTTAAAACTAAATCTGCTAAATTATCTATTGTAGAAGAATAATAACTTGAAACATTTGACACACGAATTGGGCAAACCCTAATACATAGTGATTGTTTTTAGGAGAAAGACAACTTTCGCACTAGAAATATATCTTGTGTCGCAGGGGACAAACATACATGAAACGGACACAAAGAACACCCAGACTCAGGACAAGAATATGAGCATCACACAAAGTGTCGTCCCATGAGGGGATCGAACCCACAACACACAGCGTAATAGGAAGCGGCGTGGCGACCGCTGAAACCACTACGTAATCCGTGCAATCATGGAGTGCAGTGGCTACTTTATTAGTTTTTTTTTAAATATTTTATAGTGAGTATAATAATAAATAGTAATAAATATAGTTATGGAATGGTTTGCTTTATTTTGAAGTTTTAAACTTTAACAAAACCATCTTTATATCTCAAGTTGTATGATGTAAGATCATACAACTTCGCTAAAATAAATATGCTATGAAAGTGGAGCGAAGAAGAAGCCAACATTTATTTAGCAAGTTAAATATTGCTCTGTCCGATACCGCAGTACTTAGTCCAGTTTTGATGCTAATAACGCATTCACTTCACTGAGAGCTTCCGGTTCCGGTTACGCAATTGGATGGTCTGAATGTGTAATGTAACAGCCGCGAGAGATGTGTGACGACCCACTTCCACTAAGCACTAGGCCACTAGCTTACACTGGCTTTAATGAACACGAAATTAGGTCAGCTACAGCACGTACATATGGCGATATTTCAGAGCTTTGCTATTTTCACCAACCACAAGCCTTTAAGTTATTTATTCGTCTTATGCACATTATTGCAAAATGTATACATTGTTTTGCGATGAGAGACCGATTTTGTTGGGGCCTAGGGGTCAAACAAGCAGACGTGTGACGATAGGGTGCATAAAACAGTAGCGATTAGGTCAATGTCTCTAATAAATAACCAAAGAATATCCGTCGGGGCTGCCATCTCTATTTCAAATTTCAACTAAATGATGAAGATATCCTGTGTTACATTATGTTATCGTAAAACATCTTCAATAATTTATATTCACGTCACTATAAAACTGCAAAACTTTAGTTCATTTAATGGCAGCTCTGGCGGATATTCTTTGGTTATTTATTAAGTTCAGAGATAGTTGAAAATGTTATTTATTATTGCGACATCTAAGTATATCTTATAGAGGCATACCGGGCAGAGCTCCACCAGATCTTGGTGGCTGAGTGGGACAAACGGTCCGGTGACACATCGCTTCACACGCTGGCGGAATGCTCAGCTTGTTCTAGCCAGCGTCGTGATCTTATCGCGGCAGTCAGTTCTAAGGGTGGCGTCTCGCTTCCCACCTTGGTTTTATCCATGGTCCGCAGCGAGAGTGCATGGAGCGTCATCGCTTCCTTCTGCGAACATGTGGCAACATCGCTATCTCTACCCGCAGAAGGCGCACCGGACGCCGGAGGGCATTCGTCGATCTCCGGCCACCTTAGGAAGTGGCCTGCGGGCGACGATTTCGGGGGATTCATCGTCCGAACAGATACAGGCCCAAAAGGTAGCGCACAGTGTTCCGTGTGCGTTCCTAGAGGACTGCGACCGAAGGGTAACTGTCGCAACAACTGACGAGCCCGTCTTAGGTGAGACGGGGCAATGCATGTCGGGGGTGGCGAAAGAATGCAATTGCGATTCTCGCTCCCCGGCCATTGGCAACGAGAGGAACACCGAGGTGGTTTTTCCATTGGACCCCTTCGCCATTCCCCACTGGGCGAAGGACATCCATGAGGATCTTCCACCCCGTTAAAAAAAAATCTAAGTACATCTTCGAGAAACAAATAGGCACGTAAGGAAGGGCCATGAAATTTATTTTTATACATGTTCGTGCATAACTCCATCATCTATAGACGGATTTTCAAAAATCTTTTTTTGTTCGAAAGGGGATTTTACCGAAATGGTCCCATTTAAATTTTATATAGATCTGATGATGAATTTCGGAGACAGACTACCGAACTCTTAAAGAAATGACAGCAAATCAACCGCGATTGCTGCAAGGTTTTTAGTGCTCTTTGTTAGTATTTGAAGTCGATTCAACTTCTTTTAAAACGGATTTATATTTTTTTGTATTTACACCGGTAGCGTATGTGACTGCTATGCTGAGAGGTCGGGTTCGATTCCCAGGTCGGACCAAATTTTTGTATGATCTGCATATATTTATTTCGGAGTTTGGGTGTTTTTGTGTAAAATCTGTATGTGTTTACAAAAAAAAAGTAAAGAAGTATTCTATCAGCCAATCTAACTTTCATAGTCCAAGCTCTGCTAAGTTTGAAACTAGATAACGTTGTGTGTCAGATGTCCGAAATATTTAAAAAAAATTGCACAGTATTTCGTCTTGGGTGAGAATCGAACCCCCGACTTCTGGCTGACTTCGTAGTCAGGGTCACTACCACTAGATCAAGAGGACAGTCAAAAAAATTTGTAAAATGTTTCACACTTACCTATACCGAGTGCAAAATAAATTTGTAAGGTTTTCGTACTTAAGATACTATGGAGTATACCCATTGTATCCATTAATGTATCCCACGTTATTTATTCGGGTTAATACAACGAACTGAGGGTCAGAAGAGAACTCACACTCGTCTCGTACCTGTTCAGCATACATACATATGTGTTCCGGACAGATACGCACTCTGAATATAATTGCGGATAAGATTTTATTCTATTGCTCACTGAGTGGATTTTGTTTGTTTTTGATGTTTTGTTTATTTTTATAAATAAGTAGATGGTATAACACTATCGCATTGGGCCAAACCTGTAATGATAGTTGTTTTCAATGGAAATAAATAAATAAAAATAACAATAAAGAACAATAATAGCTATTTACACTTACTCTGTGCAAGGTTTTACAGATTGGTGTGCTCAAACTTTAGTATGTACCTACTACATAAAGCATGTCCTATGAAGATAATTATATTTATACTGAATAAACATTTTATTTGGTGTAAGTGCACATTTGATAACAACACAGGTATTAACAAATGTGCAGAAAGAATGTCAAATTCAATTATTTACTTTTAGAGTTATATTTAAATAAAATAAAAACAACTACTACAATACTAAAGATAATTTTAAAGTACAATAGTAAAGGCAACTTTATTTGTTTGTTTGTGTGTTGTTCTTTGCTCTCCACGCTCCTCAGTGCAGCTGTGTGCAGTGGAGCGGCACAGTGGACTAGATGTGCATATAGCAAATGTGCCAACACACACAATAGCAACAATCTGTTTAGTCAAATACTTATCAAAATAAATATATAGATACTCATCGAAAATACAGTCAAAAATGTTACGTTAAGCACCTGATAAGTGCAGTTACCCTTCGTGTAGTTGTTATTAAATAACTATAATGTATGGATTATAGACATTACCTACGTAAGTATAAGTCATATATTGGAATGGTTGTGCCACGTTCGTCGAGTGTTCGGGGTCCGTGTCTAGCGGCGGTGACGCTCGTGGCCCGGCTGGAGCTGCGGCCACCGCGCACGCGCGCCGCGGCCTCGCTCGGCGGGCGCCGCACGTCGCACGCCGCACATCGCGCTGAGCGCCGCGCCGGACCCCCGCCGAGGTGAGCCCGCGCTCGACCGAGCCCGCCCGCGCCGGCCGCCCGCTCCTCGCCGCCACACGCGCGACCACAGGTTTACTGATATATTCGGTCACCGATCCGATCTTCACTTCCTCTCTGTCTTCGCGTTCGTCTTCGCCGTTCCTTTATTGTCAGCTCATCAGCCTTTTTAATTTTCTTGTTTTTGACCTCTCATTTCGAAGGAGAGCGTAAGTGTACCTAGTGCCGTTAGCGTCGACAGCGTGGGACGTATCGTAATATTACTATATTCCCCTACTCCGCAACTTTATATATATTCCATAACTATATATACAGATTTTGTCACATAACAGTAACGATTGTTATTTGAACGAAATTATATTTTCATCTGAACACCTGGAAACAAATAAACCACAATAGTTTTTGTATACATTAGGTTTTTAAATGCATAGATACTGAGTAGAGATTTCATCTTAGAACATTTAGTAGATACTTATAGTCATTAAATCTGACCTTATTTTCATCTCCACACACCTCACAACCCAACTCACACATACTTAATGTAGTTATTCATGTTCATGTACGTTTTAACCACCTTATTAATATTAATGTTTGTTAGGTGTCTCACCATTACCTACCTTTTTATAGGATTTAGTTTTATTATTTTGTTATCAAGTAAAATGATGCAAAATTACTTTGCAGAAGGCTTTAAGGCCAAGGATATTTGAGGCTAACGATGTTACCGACACGCACTTGAGAATGTCACAGTGTTAACCTACAATGTGTCAAAAGATAGTTTTTTATTTATTTAAATGGAAACGAAATCGAATTTGAGACTACGACAGCATACAATTCAATAATAGTCCCACAGACAGGAACAGAAAGATTTGAATGAATTACCTGAACATTAAATAATTGTGATGTTTATAAATGAAAGACGGTAGCAAAAGTATAATGTAGGTAAGTAGACGAACTTGATTACTCCCAAAAGATATAAATAAAGTGACGAGATCGATCGGTTACCCGCGTGGGTGCCGGGTCTGTGCACAGGTGCGGCCGTGGGACTTCCTTTGATCCGGTGCAGTGAAGCGAGCACGTAATCGGCGCGGTGGAGCGAAAGCGCGCGGCGGCGGCCGCATGGCGCACGTGACGTGAGGAGCGCCATGCGCGCGCTCACGCCGCTGTTGCTGCTGCTGGCCGCCGCCGCCACCGCCGCCACTGAAACCTCGCCACCCGCGCTGCTCGTGCTTCGGGCTGCCTGCCCTGCGCCGCTAAACCACCTATTCCAGAAGACGAGCCTCCAGCAGTATGAGCCCGCCCGCCCACTCCTAGCTTCACACCGACTGCGTGCTCTAAGTTACGAAGGTGACGAAGTGACTACGCTTTTGCATCTAGTTTTCTTACCCCAATCTTAATTAACAATTTCCTTCACGATTAGAGACCTGCGGACCGGAATGGAGGCAAGCGGTGACGAGAGCTTCACTCGCAGCACTGAGCGAGGGCAGCGCGGTGCTGAGCGCAGGTTGGCCCGGCGCCGACGCGTGCGAAGCTTTGGTGGCGGGCGCGCGTGCTCTTCGTCGTCCTCCACCCGTTGTGTGTGCTGTGGGAGAAGCGAGGGGCGCCGCCGTCGCTCATCTCGCTCGAGAGCTACGTTGGAGCCGCGTTCTATTGCCGCCGGCCACACCACGCTCCGAATGTGCCGCGGCGTTGCGAGACATAGCACGAGCTCTGACTGGGGCTGGTCTCGCCTTGCGTAGGGCCCCGCTGACTATACATGAAATGGCGCGGAAACCTCACGGTGAGTTTCATTCAAATTCATAGTACATCGTGTTAACTGGTTGAAATGCTCTACAGTTAGATATATGTCGGTTACAGTTGTGATTCTATGTGCCTCTCATCGCGGGACGTGGTCGGGCACATCTGGTGCGTCGCTCGGGGACGAGGGTTCTGGTCCGCCGTTGCTTCTCGTGCACGTCGAGGATCCAAACCAAACGCCGCGCGTCGCGCCTCTTATGGCACCCTCTACTTCTCGTCCCGTAACAAACCAAAAAATCAATGACGCTTTCCAATTAAGCAATATCAGTTTAGTATTAAGCCAATCTTTATATTCTCGAAGTACCCAAAATAAGTCTTATGATAAAAAGGACGCACGTGATAAGGGTCACAATCCCCTATACTCTTTGCGTCGGAGAACGACTCGATCGACCTTGAGGTCCGCTCAGTACCGAGAGATGCAGTCTACAAACGATAATACCAAAATAAATTCCGTCCGATTTCGATCGCAAAACGATAATTCAGGTGTGATTCCACTGCCTGGTGACCGCCAGTCTGCAGTGATTGAGTTCCTTCGTTCCAAAACTAAAGGTGAGAGCAGAGGAAGTAGTCGCGTCCGTCGACGTGAGTTATCCCACACACTTTATTCTGATTTCCAAGTCGACTATGTCGATGCTCTTTTATCTAGACTTCGAGTTTCTTATTTTAAATGCTTATTGCTTCTCACCGACGAGGACCTGCATACACAATTGAGTGAAGATGATGTTTACCAAAAAATAACCGAGGCTATCGAAAGCGATTCAAAATCAGAGCGAACTCGTTCGGAATACAGTAAAGTGCACTTTCATCTATACGAACAATCGAACAGCTCCAATGAAACATGGCAACGAGCAGTGGTACTGGAGACAACCTCGAGCAGGTCGCTAGATTCTGCTGAGGAATGGCAGCACGCTGTCAACTTTTCTAATGTAAGCGTGGATGTCGACACCTGGATAGCAAGAGCACCTCGCGAAGAGCGTAATGTTAGGCCAGCCGGCGGTGCGCTCTGGGCTGGAGTGGTGAGCTGCACATTAGCGTTGGCGAGCATCGTGGCGTTACTTGTGCGCTGGATGGCACGTCGGCGCAGACGTCGTCGTCGCCGCGAAGACGCCGTGTTATCGCCCGTTGACTTTACTTTCCCTGTGGATGAGCCACGACGCGTAGGTGAGGGTATGGAGACGATGCTGTCGTGCTGGTTACAACAGCTCCACGAGTTTGGTGGGCCCGAGCTCGAACGCCCAGACCTGCTGAAGCAACCACCGCGGGCAGCGCCTTTGGTACCTTCGGCGCCTTCTTCCACCTGCAGCGTGAACCGAGTCACTGTCGACCGCCGCATCCGATATAAGGTACTTTCGTGTTCTTCCTTACCTGAAGTTGACGATGGCCGCGTTTTACCACCTGACTTATGTTCGCTTTGCTCAGGGGGATGTAGTACATGTGAAATACCTGCCGGGCACCACCGCGCTCGAGCTCAAGCGCAAGGCTACCGACGTCTTATTGGTCATGCAGAATCTGAGACATGAAAATTTGAATCCATTTATAGGTAACTACTACTTGCCAAATTGTTAATTTAATATTATAAAAGCAAAGTCGTATATCACTAAACACAAAATGTTTTTTGGTGTAGAAGTAATCCTTTGTTGTTTACCTTAAAAGTTATTTTGCATCCTGTTGCAGGCTGTCTGTGTGAAATACGTGCTGCGCTTGTATTCGACCACTGCTTGCGCGGTTCGCTAGAGGACGTTTTGATGGCAGACGAGATCAAGCTGGACTGGACATTCCGCCTGTCGCTACTCACCGACCTCGTGAAAGGCATGCGCTATCTTCACAGCTCCCCACTACGTGTGCACGGGCGCCTCACGTCTCGCAATTGTGTGGTGGACTCGCGGTGGGTGCTGCGCGTCACAGACTACGGACTGCCCACGCTCCATCGCACCCAAGGAATCCCGCACGCGTATCGTTCTGCTAGAGGTTGTACTGGCACTCCGAGTTTGTACTCGTACCTAGACATAAAGCAACAACATGACTTATCTTTATCTCACAGATCTGCTGTGGACAGCGCCCGAACTATTACGTGAGCCTCGGGGGGAGGGGCGGGGCTCGCAGTCCGGAGATGTGTTCTCATTTGCCATAATTATGCAGGAGGTGATCGTTCGTGGCGAACCCTATTGCATGCTGTCGCTGACGCCAGACGGTGAATATACGCAACCAATAGTATGTTTATTAGATTACCTGACCAGCCAACGTGTAGTAGATATATATGAAGCACTTGCACCTGCAGAGATCGTGGAGAAAGTGTCGCGGCCGCCGCCACTGATCCGGCCCTCCGTATCAATGGGCGCTGCGCCGCCAGAGGCCGTGAGCGTTATGCGCCAGTGCTGGAGCGAGGCGCCGGACCTGCGTCCTGACTTCTCACGTCTGCACGACATCTTTCGGCACTTACACCGGGGCAGGTAATTCAATGGAACCTTACGTCCTTCTGCCGAAGTTTATGTCTTATAACCACTCACTAGTTAACACTTTGCCCTTGTTAAATTAAACAAAAACATTAAACTTTGAATTTATTTATATTTAGTTAATTTAAAGCTTGATGCAAATTAAAATACCTTAATTTAAATCCCTCATGTAAGTCACAATATCAATATAAAGATATCTTATTTGCCAAACAATATAAAAAAAAATATTATGTGCCAATGAAATTCCCAGTAGAAAATACGGGTCATATACTATCCTATATTGCAGAATGAAATCTGCGTTGCAGTAATATACGTCACGTTCCATTTTATCCCAGTAATTATCGGTATAATAGCTACCTACCAAGAGGTTCTAGGTCGTTTACAACTAAACCATAATACACTCATCATTTCAATTTTATGTCATTCGATCCTCAATTGTTTTAATGGTCCATGTTTATTTTAGTCTATTTGGGATGTAGTATTTCAGATATCAGCACTGACTTTTTTCTACATAGGGGGAAAAAAAAACCTTAGTAAATTAGCATCATATTTGAATTGTAAATTTAACCGTAAACTCCCTAAATACAATATAATAAATATCCCAAATGGATATTTAACATTAAGGGACACATGCCCTTTGCAATTTCATCCCCAAACATTAGTATGTAATGATTTTTTGTACAGTTTGTATGTTTATAGGGGAATCCTTGATTTCAGCTAAAATAGTTGTGTAGCGCGATGCTCTCTAGACGTTTTTATAAATATTCTAAGAAATGGCATCTAGGAGTAATATGTAATTGGCCCAAGATTTCGTATTGTACATTCGTTCCGATAACTTTTATATTTGACGTTTATGGTTTTATAAATTTGTTATAGGTAATTTTAATCTCATTCGCAATAGACTGTTGTCCATGGTTAACATTACTTATATGCAAAATCACAGCACTCTACATGTATTAGTTATTAATTCTACACTCTAGCAGTGCAACTAGCGCCAGCCAAAATATGTTTGACAATTGTACCGAAAATTACTTTATTGTTTCAGGAAAATAAATATTGTTGATTCTATGTTCGAAATGCTGGAAAAATATAGCAACAATTTAGAGGAGCTGATCAGGGAACGAACTGAGCAGCTCGACATGGAGAAGAAGAAGACTGAGCAACTGCTGAACAGAATGCTACCGAGGTGCTTAGCGATCGTATTCATATATATATGTATATTCATATTGTATATTCGTATATTCGTATGTATATTCGTATGTATATTCATATTGTTCAGGAGGTATACCTCCTGAACAATATGAAACTTTGCTCTCATAAACTGCTTCATTTTTATGCTAATATTTAATACATAATATTATAATTGAATATAAGGCAATACCTCTTAACTCTACTGAAGGGCTCAACGCCCTCGGGCATGTCATTATTGGGGCGGTAAGACCCGTTATGGAGGATTGGCTCGAGAGGCATCACGGAACCGTCTCATACCGGCTGACGCAGGTGATCACCCCGAAAGGATGCTTCAGAGATCACCTGTGTCTGATCCGCAAGGAGCCAACGCCTGAGTGCCACCACTGCGGTGGCCGGACCGTGGACACGGCGCTTCACGCGTTGGCACAATGCCCGGGTGGAGCAGAGTCGTGACCTCGTGGCGGCCATCGGAGTTTGAGTCCTCTCGCTCGGTAATATGGCTGCGACAAGGTACGGAGCGAGAGTTCTCTGCCGTCTCTCCCAAGTATTTTTATTTGAATATGATGGAATAGGAGGTAGGTTAGACCTTCATAATAGTAACTTTGTAAATTACAGATATTCGTCTTTCGATAACGTGGCACTTACCGTGACTATGAAAGTCACTAAAATTCGTGATATTAAGTAATCATTTAAATAATTATTTAATCGCTCTAGAATTTAAACACAGATAGACTACAGATAGATCTAACAAAGCTTGGCAGTTATTACGTCATTGACAAAACAAACTTTGTGCAGGTCTGTGGCGGAACGGTTACTGTTAGGGTCGCGAGTGGAGCCCGAGGAGTTTGCGGAGGTGTCCATATACTTTAGCGACATCGTCGGCTTCACGGCTTTGGCGGCGCGCTCCACACCCGTGCAGGTGGTTGACCTGCTTAACGATCTCTACACTACGTTCGACGCCGCCATCGAGCAATACCGCGTGTACAAAGTCGAGACCATCGGCGACGCCTACATGGTGGTGGGAGGACTGCCCGTCCGTACGCAAGACCACGCGCAAAGTATCGCCACCATGGCCTTGCATCTCCTGCACCTAGCTGGGCGTTTTCGCATACGCCACCTGCCCGACACTCCGCTCCACCTGCGCATCGGTCTGCATTCTGGGCCCTGCTGCGCTGCTGTCGTCGGCCTCACTATGCCCCGTTACTGTCTCTTCGGCGATACTGTGAACACTGCTTCGCGAATGGAGTCCACAGGTAAACCTAGTGCTGCAAGTACGTGCCATCGATTACAAGTAGGTACAATCGCTGATGCTGTGTGCGCAGGTGCAGCGTGGCGGATACAAGTGTCGGCGACGACCGCCGAGCATCTCAGCGCAGCCGGCGGGTACCGATTACGCTCACGAGGCTTGACGCAGATCAAAGGCAAAGGCGCCATGCACACCTATTGGCTACTAGGAAAGGACGGATTCGACAAGCCGCTTCCGACACCGCCAGCTTTAGAGTTAGTGCCACCGGCTTTTAGCATTTTGACCCCTATATAGTCGTTTCACGTGTATTATTTATCAAATCCGGGGATGTCCTGTTAGAAACCCCTCAAACCTCAAACAAGACCGACACCACCTCTCCCCCAGCCTCCTCCCCGCCCCCCTTCACCCTTCGACAAGTCGCTCTCGACACTACCAGCTTTAGAGTTAGTGCGAACGGCTATTAGAATTGCCAGCTTGAGAGTTAGTACCGCTGTAGTCATTTCACGTGTATGATTTTTCAGATCCGAGGAAGTCTTGTTTGAAACGGATGGTGAGAACGAAAGCGACACGTTATCCGCGCGCACATCGACACCAGTGAGGAATTCCTCTAGTATCGAGCCTCGAACCGATCCGTTGACAACGCCGGACAAACAAGGTGCATTTTTTATAAACATTCGAATTACCTTAAACTCCAAATCGGATAACATTTAAAAAAATTTCAGCCATGTGGCAACAATCGGGCGCCGTGTCGGCTGACAGCAGCCCGCCGCGTATCCCTCGCACCGTGCACGTCGCGTCCAGTGTCGACCAAAGCGCGCAGTACTCCCGCTACAGGTCAGTTCAAACTAACGACAATCCCAACTTACAATTGTCGAGTTCGTTTTAGGCCGTGGGAGCTTTGCCTTTCCTTTTAATTAACTCTGTAGAGAGCTCTCAAAGCTACCGGCCCACTCGTAACCCTATACTATAAAACAAGTGCGTGGATGATCATAAACGATGTCGACTCTCAGATGTTTGGGCAACGGGCGCCGTCCGTTACGACGCCAGTGGTCGCTGGAGCGCGGCGATGCGCTGGCGGCGGCAGCAGCGGGCGCGGCGAGTGCGTCGGCGCCGCCCTCTCCGCCGGAGCCGCTGGCGCTGCTGAGCGCCGCGCCGCCCGCGCCCCGCGCCGCCGCCCGCTACCGCACGCGGCCCGAGCGCGACGCGCCCCCGCACGGCCCGCCCTAGGCGCCGACCTTAGGCGTCGCACGATCGACAATAATTTTCTTAGACTTATTTTGGCGCAATCTTCTCCCCGATCGTTTTTGTATGATGCGCGAACGCAGAGTAGATGCGGTGGGAGATGTCGCACGTGATTATACTTTTTATGAGAGCACCTACGATTCGAGTTGTGATTTTTCCCGGGTGATTGATGTATTTTTGAGAATTTTCGAGTACCTAAATAAAAATACTCTTCTAGTCTTCAGTTGTAGTTTTATTCGGTTCACTCGGTGACAGCGATTCGAGTGGGTATAGTTTTTTCAGATCCAGTCGGAGATATTTGCTAACAAAACATAAAAAAATCAAACTTATTTGAATCGTCATCTATTTTATTAACGGCTCTATAAAGTAGTAGTGGTAAAAACTTTACCTTAGGTAGATTTTTCACATAAATCTAACTCAATAGAAAAATGCATACGCAAAAGATTAGGGATGGACTAATAAATATCATGGAAAATATCCTATCCATGAAGCCTACAATATGAACAGATGAATATGCCTGATCCAGGTAGAATTGCTCGAAAATGCGAGGTAAGATAATAAGAATAAAACAGGAATTCAAGGATTTCGAACAGACTTACTCTCAATAAACGTTCTCCGCCTTGTGTGTGGGTCATTCCGTGAAAATTTGCACCGTGACTATGTGGACAAAGCGGACATTTTTTTAAATTATTGTTTCGAATTATATTATTATTCGACGCACTGTATCTTAAAGATCTAGAAAAAACTTTACTTTGCTTTGGAAAATGTTTTCTTTACTAGATATTGCCATTTTTATTAGGGACCATGACTAAACTGTGTCCATTTAGTGACAAAATGATTTCTTTTTTCTGGAAAGATAAGATAGTAATAGATTTTTAAATTTTATTTTACGCTCCCTGTGTGAACATAATATGTTATTCTACCTATAAAAAATAATAAACTTACCTTTCGCAACATTAATGTTGTTCTTTTCATATGTTAAAACCATTTCGTGACGTTTTGAATGAAAAGGACTACTTTTTTCATGTTTAAGCTACTTCAAATGCTTTGCAATGAAACCAAACTTGCATGGGATGTAAGCATGCTAGTGATATAATTATTTTATGAAATTAAAGTACAGTTTAATAATATATTCCATCATAATCGATAACGATGGTAGGACAAAAAAGTGTGACTGTAACTAAATAGGAAATACTATCGTGACTAAATAGATACTTAGGCAGCGTTCATAACAATGCCAAAAGGTGATGAAATAAATCTTGAATATAGCATTAAAATGTGCTTCCAAATAAACAGATTGTGTTGTAGTTAATTAGTTCTATACCTACTTAAGTCATATAGTCTAAAACTAATTGTTTTTATTTAGAGCGTTAGTTAGTTAGGCGGGCTAGGGAAATAAAACAATTTATATTTTTAAATTCAATCAACAGTCTTAATTCAATACGTAGTTAGGTAATCATTTGTAATAATTTGTGATATTTCCTTTTTAGCAATAGCTTCTGGTAGTTCTTCTATTTTATCCACTTGTTGCAGAATTTGAGGTTCACAATAATAATTATAGTTAGTCATAGGATCAATCAATAATATAGCATCGCTAGGCTTCTTTTTCTCAATGGACTGCTTCGAACATAGGTGAGATCTTTTACGTTTGATAGTTTTATTAGAACACGTATCTTAATTTTCGTCTTCGCTACTACTTAAAGTGCCGTATACTTTTGCATTTGTAACAACTTGTTTTGGTGGCTCGCTATAATTTCTCTCATATGATAATATGTCGCAATTTTGGTTAATTTCAAGTATATTCAATATATCCATATTTTTTTGACCATAAAATGATGAATTCTGTGTAGTTAATTTGACGTCTGATAGAATAGTAACCTTTGTATTTTTGTTTGAATTTTGTGTTTTTGAATTTGGTGATACGTCTTTTGTAGATTTGATAATACTATTTTCTTTATTGCATTTTAAGTCCGATAAAAGAGTGACATTTGACGATTTGACGGAACGCTTAACTTGGTTTTCTTTTTTACTTACTGTTTTTTTAGGCGCTAATACTTCTTCCTCTGGAACTAATTTTCCTGCAGTTACTTGCAAATTATGTCTTCCACTTAACAATGGTTTAGCTTCTCGTGAAGTTTTAACATGGTTTAGGAGGGTCTGATCAAATTTTCTAGGAGCTACAGTAGTGTCCATTGTCTTTTCAGTTATGCAGGTATGGTATATATTATTTTGGGCAGTATTTTCAGTAATGTTAGCGAATATTATACTAGGAAGGTCTGAGTCTTGACAAAGATAGTCAGTATAAGAGTTTAGTGTATCAGGAGCTATGTTGCAGGCGTCGAAGTTTGTCTCTAGATTAAGGTAAGTAGTATTTGGTGTCGTATCTTTGGTGAACTTTACTTTTTCAGTTTGGCTTGAATTAAAAACTTCTACATCGGGACCAGAACCAAGATCTTTGAAAAAATAATGCCTAGTTGGGCTCAAGCAAAGACACAGTCCTCTTTCACAAAAACAACTTAGCTGCCTATGGAGTATTTCATTTTTTGTTGTTGATATTATTTGATGTATTTGCATTGTGCCTGCAACTGCTTTTAAATTGTTTGGTATTAGTGTTTTAATATTTTCGATATCAGAATTAGGTATAAAAAAGGGCTTTGTGGAAGTCATGCACATTTTTAAATTATTAAATGCATCAGTAGCATTTGAAATATCATGTCCATAACAAACACGACGATCTAACGCTCTTTTTGTGGCACCACCTATGCCATCTGCCACACCTTTCCCATGGCCACTTTCTGAAAATGACCACGTTGTCATGGACAGTTTCAGTTTTTCGGTAAACAAGTTAAGTAGGAAAAAATTCTTTTTTTGTCTGTATTGGCTGCTTGGACCATCCGAGAAAAAGTGAATTACGGATAAATTACCGCACATTTGCTTCGCTAACTTGATGATTGGAATAAGGTGTGCCCAAATGGCATGAGGTTCATGACAGTTGCTATCTGATAAACTTACAAATGATTGACACTGTGTTTTTAAGAAAATCATGCCGGTATGCAGAGTAATCGAATTTTTAGACCCTCCGAAATGAAGCGACTGAATCTCTTGTGCCAACTTGCAGTCGTAGTTTTCCGAAAAATCAACCAATATTGCACATTCATTGGGCTTTAAATTTTCAATACACTTTCTGTATTGACGTTGCTGCTCCTGAATATTGTAAAAGTGTTTTTTATATAAAGGCAATTGTTTTTGAAACTCATCTATTAGTTCTTGAATTGTGCCAACTTTTCTTTCTTTTTTTGTTACATTGGCTATCATATCCTTGTCATTTTTCTTGTACGACTTTTTTGAGCGTTCCCACTGGCACCATTCAACAACAGTATTTTTATCAGCTGTAAAATTTATGGATTTATACCGGCATGAATCGCACGCGTTGTACATACAACTTTTGGAATTTATGTCACATGACACTAGTTTTAAAAGATCTTTTCCAGATTGATTTTGCAGTTCGGAAATAGTGTGCTTTTTAATAGCTGATACCACAAAATTAAAATTACTATGTTTAACACAGAGGCATGTATCACGAGAGGCATTGGTCGGCGACAGGATATAAAAAGGTTTATATTTGCAAAATGTAGAAAAACTGTATATTCCTCCTTCTTCTTTATATATTTGGTAAAGGTTGTATAAAGTATCAGTAAGATACCTTATTTGCATCTTTTTCTTCTGTTTTGTTCTAGTCTCACGCTTTCCGGACGTCGCTCTGCTTATTTCGTCTCGACTGTAAAATGCCTCTAACATTTCTTTTATGTTTTTGCTTAGGAATCTCTTTGTTTGGCTAAATCGTATCCTGGAACATTTTAGACCTAAACTTTCTGATATAATTTTTTTCACGCCTTTTTTTGATGATGCAATATTGTTGGATTTGCTAATAGAACGCAATACTTTTTTTTGTTCATTTGTTTTACAGTCTTTGTATTTTTGTGTTAAAGCTATTTCCAGAACTTCGTGCCGTGCTTTTAACTTGTCAATTTCAAGATCTTTTTCTCTATTTTCTTTTTCTTGTGTCTTTTTTGTTCGACTTAAAGTTTTACGTAGACGCTGATTGATTTTTCTTGCTTTGCTTAATTGCTTAATTGCTGAATTATAGTTTCTTATTAAGTTTACATATTTCTTTTTGTAGAAGTCGACGGATCTAGAATCTGCTTTTGGAGGTGTTGCAGCAATTTCTTCTTGTTCACGTTGTTTCTTGGCTTCTCTTTGCCTCTTTTTCTGTTGTCGCCAGATTTTTCTTGTTTCATCTTTTTCGGTTTCGCTTAATTCTCTTATTTTCTTTTGTCCTTTCTTCACTCTTGCAATTTGTTTTTTTCTTAGCTCTTCATATTTTTCTGCATTTAATTTTAATTTATCCCTATAGCGTTTAGCACGCTCAGCAGCTGTTAGAACCATCACTGGAAAAAATAAATACATCACTGGAAATAAAAAAAATACAGTAATAATAAATAATCTGAAACATGAAGCTCCATGGTATAATAAACCACAAGGCGGTAAGCAGAATGTCACACACAAATTGTATACTTTAGATTGGAAGAATCTTAACAGAATATTTTTCCCGCCTTATAGCCGAATGTAGTATAAAATAGCATTATAGAAGTTACATAAAATAACACCAAAGCATTAATTCATCTTAAAAGGTTAAGATTAACTGCATTAAAATTTACATGCGTTTTTTTTTCTAGCAAAATTTTGAAATTACAAGTTTTTCAACATACGGCTGAATTGAACCATATGTAGAACAAAATAGTAACGCCATTTGTTAACCTACATAATAACAAGCTGAAACTCGGTGCATTTAAATGAACTAGTATTGGAGAACCAACATTAAACCCTGAACATCATTTGTCATGAAAGTGCTTATTGAGACAAATCTAAAGAACCCATACACGATGGGTTTACGTGAACCAGAAACAGAGAACTCCTGGTAACCA